TCTGTAATAATTAAATTGTTGTTAATATTGTGTGATCAGTAAAAGGTCTAGTAAAACTGGCTTCTGTTGATTAATTAATGATAAAAAATAAAAAAGAAAAAACTGTTGTTTAGTTTTTTTTTTTCTTTTGAACAGAATGAAATTGGTTAATTTCAAATACTGCCATACGGCATCTACAGGAATAATAAACAGTAAGATTACAACAGGAGCAAGAAACTAGAGTAGACCCATTTCCAGAGGCCGAAAGGAGGTGTACATGACACTCGAACAACCACTAAGGGCGTAGCTATACAGCGGCCTTCGGTTGAGCGATCTAAACGGAACACCCTTCAATCTATCCATGTGGAAGGTGCGCCAGGCTCCAGGATGCCGATGCGGAAACCAGATCAGGCGGAGGCCGATCCCTGGAGGCAGATCCCTGGAGGCAGCAGGTGGGTCACAAGGTTGCCAGATTTGGGATCCCCCGCGTTCACCGCCACCTATAGAAGCTGTCGGATGGAGGGGACCACCGCCGAATCTGCAAGCCAACCAAAAAACAGCGAGCACCTAATAAGATCTGTAGGATAGGGTCGAGGGTCGCCAGATCTGACAAACAAACTATACAAGAACACAAAAAAACAACAAAACAACAAGAAAAAACAAGAAAACCAAAGGGGTCACCAAAGGGGACCCAAAAGCCAACAGACTCGGAAGGGTCGTCAGAGGAGGGAGCATAGGCCGGCTCCAACATGCTTGAACGGCCGGGAAGCCCGGCTGCTCAAGCATCAAAACCCCGGAAGCTCAAAGGCTTCCGGACAAAAACAACGCAGTGTCGGAGAAGGAAGGCAGAAGCAAGAGAGAAGGGAGAGAAAAGGGGGAAAGAGAGAGAAGACAGGGGTTAAATTGTGATGCTTTTCTATCCGTTGTTTAGTTTGATACAAGCCAGATGATCAAACAAGGGATTCTTAATGGAACATGTCGCAAATTTAAAGAATTAAAGAATTTTTAAGTTTAAATTACAAAATAAGATATTTTTAATGGTACATCTCACAAGTTTAAAAACAGAATGATTTTTATGTCTTTAGTTCAACTCAGACCAAACTCTATCTAGAGCTTAAGCTTGAGCTTTCTACCCAAAAAAAAAAAAAAAAAAAAAAAAACTTACTATTACAATAATAAACAAAGCCTAAGTTGAATTGTGTTTTCGTATTTTTGGGTATTTTTTAATATATTTTTTGAATACTTAGGGTGTATTTAATTAGTTTGGTTGATTTTATCATATTAGTTTTTTTCCTCAAATAACTAATTAAAGTATTTAAAAACAACTGAT